GATGGGCTGAAATGCACAAAACGCATGATCGCACCGGCTAGTCTGGTGCGCGTTGCTATTTATTAACTTAGGAGCGGAGAAAGCTGGAGTTTTAAGGGAGTGTTCCCTGCTCATGTACGACTGAAATATTTCAAATCCAGCGTCTTAGAACCGTCCGGTCTCACATACGAGTACGTGAAAATTTTATCGGGAAAATTGCTGGCTAGCAAACGAGAAAAGCTGGAAAGCTAGAATTTTAAGGGAATCTTCTCTACTCATGTACGACTGAAAGATTTCAATTCAGCTCTTCAGAATCGCCCGAGTCTCACGTACGAACACGCAGAAATTTTGCGTGCAGTTCCTTAGAACCGTCCGGGTCTCACGTACGGACCCGCATCCCATGATTATGCAAATCTGGATTATAGCATTATAACTAAAGATATTCGCTTCCGCTGCAGCCAAAACACTGCTTGCAAGAAAGTGTTTGATTTTCCTCATCGGGTCTTTTTCGTGCACTTGTATCTTTCCGTTTTTCGATCACTGAAGCCGACGTGGACAACTGACCCAACACGTAGCTGCACAATTAACTTCGAACTTCGAGGACCAGTGTGTCACAGATTGTAGCTACTGGGAATCCAAGTGATCTTGCTACAGCACAAAATAGTGCAAAAATGCATGATCGCACTGGGGTGCGCCCGCCTAGTGCGCGTCACCACTGATTTTATTTTCGCGGACACATCAGTGGATGACAAGCAATACTGCAAAATTACAGCTGTCTACGACTTCCTGGTCAGCTTAATTCTCGAGTCTGCACGATGCCAATTTAAACTTTGGCGTGTGCATACGTGAGGGCTAGGGGGACATGAAGGCTGAATTTAAAATCTTTGGGTTAGACGTATGCAAGGGACATCTTCGCGAAGTTTCAGCTCTCTATCTTGCGTGGCTCCCAGAATTGCTTCCCGCCAGAAAATCTTTCGTGCGCCCACACGTGAGAATTACATGGACGTGATTGTTCATTTTAAAAATAGGAGCTCGTACATAGGTTAGGTTAAGTTGCCGGAGTTTCGGCCTTTTAGTCTTTGTAGGTTTCGAAATGGAAACTCGATACAGATGCGCTATACACACACACACACACACACACACAAACACACACACACATACACACACACACACGTATATACACCGACAGTATATGTTTTTGCATTGGATGGAAGCAAAAAACGCATAAAAATGAATAAAAGGAATGCCAATTTTGCGTGTACTTGCACTGACAACACCGAGTACTAAATTTTACACTAGTGCATTCCACTTTTTCAGCGTTGGCCAGAGACAGTTGCTATGCCTGGCTCGTGCAGTGTTACGGAAAAGCAAAATTTTGATTTTGGACGAGGCAGCAGCATCGGTGGATATGGAAACTGACGCACTGATTCAAAAAACGATCCGAGAGCATTTCTCCAGTTGTACAGTCCTAACAATTGCTCATCGCTTGCAGACCGTCATGGATAGTGACAAGTGATCATTGTTACTGTGGTCCCGAGTTGCTAAACAGTTTTAAATGCACCATGGCAGCAGTTTCAGCTTTTCACCTCTCCCTCTACGTTTTGCCATGCCGTTTCTTCTGTTCACCCCCTATGAATATTTCTGAGATGTATCCACATGTCGCGATCGGGAGGCATGACGTGAATGTACGGAAGTACATGCTTGTCAAATGTTCCTGTTGCACATTGCATTTCTTTCCAGCTTGTCCTATAATTTGAGAACAAACAAATAACAAACTTTTTAAATCCCTTTATGACTAAAAGGTCACTTAAAAAAGAAAAAAACTTCGAGGATTGTATAGCCAGAAGCAGTGGCACTTTTTTATATCGAGTCCAATGATTTTTTTTCTGCTGACCGAAACTTATAATTTCTATTTCCAGGGTCCTGGTACTCGAAGATGGTTATGTCCGAGAATTCGACGCGCCGAACAAACTGCTAGAAAACACAAATTCACTTTTTCATGCTTTGGCTAATGAATCTGGCCTGACTCGCATTATCAAGTAGAATTTCAGCATTTATGCTTTTTTTAGTTGGTACTGTAAAAATATCTCATTCAGTCCTGTTGCAGTGTTAATTTCAGAGGGAAAAGTTAAGTATTCTCCATTTCTGATTAGATTGGTTGACCCATCCGTATATATAATCGTCAACTGCTAAGCCCAGAGACAGCCTGTAAATTTTCCTGACTGAGTTGATATGTTTTTGAATTGTTTAAAGGTAGCTGAAGGAGCAATTTGTGCTTCATTAAAAGGAAGATGCATGACTTTTTTTTTCTTTTTGTTTTTGAAATTTGTTGATGTTATTACGTAGTCTGTTGACATTCCATAGTGCAACGTGTTCAATGAGGCACGGCCACTGAGGTTCTTTGTACTTCAGCAGTACTCCCTGCTAAGCCAGCAGCAAGAAGCCTTGGCGGCATTCCTCCTATGACTTCTGGTAATAAAAATTATTTGCTACAAGGAGTAAAAGCATTGTGGATTCTCTCAAAAAGTTATCATTATGTGCGACTGTCTGGGATAAGCATTCAATTCAGCATATATGGCGTCATTTCGAATCACTTATAAAAATAGGCAGTACACTTTTTTATCATTTGAAAGACCTGGACCAAGTTGTAGGAATTTTAAACGAGTTTAATAAATGCAATTAAAAGCCCATTTCTGTCTCAGTTTTGGAAAATTAGCAGTTTCCCGGCAAGTGGCTTGATATGTTCGCTTAACACATTTAGGGCTGACGACACATTAAAAAAAGTTTTAATAATTAGTGGTTCTGATTGATTCACAAAGGTAAATCACAGGTATTTGAGGGTGAAAGAGAGCA